CGTGTGGTTTCAAGCGCAGACCCTGCCTGGCATCATCTTTCCCAAAAGCCTTTCCACCCATTTTAACACTCTCCTGGGAGCTTCCTATAGTTTCAGATTCCACTACCTGCTGTTCTAAAATAGTTAATGCATCTGATGTAGAAGCCACCAGGTAAAATCATGGCAGAATGTTTATCATTTGCTTTAATTGATAATATCTTTGCTTCTTACGTTAATTCGATGTTCAAGGAAGTTTATGATTTGCCTATTACCTGCCTGTATGCAGTATTAGCAGTTAGTGTTCTGACACAAGTAATACTACTAGCCAAGGCCCCAGGAACAAGGACAAAGATAATTTCACCACCTGCTTGAAAGAAATAAAAGCTTTACACAATGAGGTTTTGGAGAACAGATTAGGTCATGCCAGATTTTTGCAGCAAGTGGAACAGAAGTTGGATGATAAGCTTTGCTCTATGTCCAATACACTAGAGACAAAGCTGTCTGTTGCCCTAGATGAGATGCAGCATATTTATGATAAGATAAACACAGAGATACTCTCTATGTCTGAGGTGTTAGAGGCTAGGCTGTCAGAGGACCATGACGAACTAAAGAATATCTGTAGACAACTAGAAACTCAGATAGGATCTGTTTCCCAGAATTTAGATGCAAAGCTGGAAAATAACCAGAATAGTTGACGAATCGGATAATGCCATTGGATTGATTGTTGAGGCATCTATGGTAACAGGTCACAAGTTTGAGTCTAGGTTAAAATGTTTGGAAGGCAATTTACAGAACAAAGTTGACAGATTAGATAGGTCCATTTGGTCGATTGCTGAGGTATCCTCCTCAGCAAGTCACGAACTGGAGTCTAGGCTCCGATATATAGAAGGCAATTTCCATGCATCCAGATGCTAAGGATGAGCATATTATAGACTTAGAAAAGCATGTAGATGGGAGATTAGGGAAATTTACAGATTTGTAACATGCTTGGAATCCTTTATGATGCAGAAAATCAAAACTTTTATGAGGATATTATTGCTAGGCTGAAAGATCATTGGGACGCCTAGGAGATGGAATCACTCCAATACGAGGTACCTACTCCACCCAAGCATCATGACAACTCTTCTAGGGTTGTTTCTCATACACCATTAGTGTTCCCAGCATCCATGGTAGAAAACCACCTTCTAAGAAACACCCTGAGGGACAGATGGCTTATGTATGGCAGCCTGAAGGATCTTAAGAGTATTAAAGAATCGGTTGTCTCATATGGTCTCCATAGCCCATACATGAAACAGCTATTACATTTGTGGGCAAACTTTAACAGGACAATGCCCATGGACTGGGAATGATTGGTGGCAGCTGTACTTGAGAATTCATCCCAAATTCAATGGAGGGCTTTGTTTAGGGAGAAGAAAAATCTCCTCAAGCTGCAAAGGCTAACATGGAAGGGGAGGAGCATTGGGTTTCCAAAAATGGGGGAAATGCAAGGAAGGCACACATGGCCCAGCTTGTCTCAGTCCCAAGCCACAGAAGCCACAGAGTAGGAACTACAGTTGGGCTAAACAGTAGAGTCCTGAGCAGGTTCGTAGGCCCAGCGAACGATCTGGGAGAAGCTGGCAGGAGCCCCAGGGAGAGTTCTCTTTTCTTTATGAAGGGTCCTGGAATGGGTTCACCCAAAGAGAAGGGCCCATGCCTTGGAAAACATCGCAGGCAGAAACGGGAGCTGTGAGGTGTCCAATGTGATAACGCAATGGTACATTCAGCCATGCAGGAGACGGAAAAGAGGGCCACATGTGTGTGCCCATGATATTTGAAGCCTTGCTACCGTGAGGTGTCCAATGTGATAACGCAATGGTACATTCAGCCATGCAGGAGATGGAAAAGAGGGCCACATGTGTGTGTCCATGATATTTGAAGCCTTGCTTCTTCACTCTGACCAGGTAGAGGAAGAAGGAAGCACTGAATATTTGCCAAGAATATGAAAATGGAATGGAGGTAGCATCCCCTCCAGACTGGCATTGGAAGACTGCTGACATTTCATTTAGAGGTTGGATACCAGGCCCTGCAAGCTGGAGTGCCCCCTTTAGACAAGTTTTCACTTGGTGGGTGGGTGGGTGTTGTTGTGTGTGGTTGTGTGTGTGTTTGTGTGGGTGCGTTTGTGTGTGCATGCGTGGGCACATTATTTTATTACTTTAGCAACAAGGCAAAAACGATACTTTATAAATGATTGCCTTTCATTTGCCAAAGGGATCAGGGGACCCAAAAGGACATCTATTTTCACAAATATACAAGGCAGTTAGATCATTTCACCAATAACACATGTTGTTTTTGTTGTTGAAACAAGTTTCTAGCCCAGGCTAGTTTTGAACTCACTTTATAGCAGAGGAAGACCATAAACACCTGATCTTCCTATCTGCCTTCCAAATGCTGAGAATATAGGCATGTGCCACCTTACCAGGTTTAGGCAACACTATAACCTACTCTCATGCATGCATCTTAAGCACTCTGTCAACTGAGCTACAACCACCAGTGCTATAATACACACTTTGAATAAAATAAAACATTGGTATGTGAGTCAAATTATGAGCTCAAATTAATTGAGGTTTTCATTTCCCACAAGACATTTCATGGCCTAGTCAACTCTTCTGTTATTCTACCCACCAAATCACATCTAAATCCTGCATTTGATCTAATACAGACACAGACAGAATTCTTGATATGCCACTGTAGATACTAAAACATTTCTATGATCATAGAGCTACCAGCTTGCATTCAAATGTATATCAAGGAAACATTATACCCACTGATGTTATTCTGTGACTTAGCATTTAATCAAACTGCCCTGTCACAGCCCTGGGTTTAATATGAGCACCAGCAAAAATGTACATATGAAAGGTGATTTTGTTTCTGCATTACACGGGAGAGATGAGACCCATGACTTCAACATTATCTTTCAGAGGTGGCATTATTCTTAGTGAAATAGACAGAGAGTAGACACCATAGCATCCTGGAATGCCTGGGTGCCACCTAATGATATTAAGAACAACGAAACTTTTTACTTTGTTGGAAGATTCTGTTATTTCCTTAATGAACCAGAAATAAAATGCATATTCTGAAACAATTACATTGGCCTGATTCTTTTTATTAACTTGTGCAAGATATGTATGCTGAGAAACTTCAAGCAGAGAGATAAAGGGGGTTAGGGGTGGGGTTTAGTTTTTGAAGGACTAATAAAAAATCAGAATCATTAAGAAATGAAAAGGAATTCATTTTGAAAGTTAATTAAAAGTTGTCTGCACTGTGATTGTAGACACCATACAGTAGAAAAGAGGAAAATTTAAGACATAAATGAGAAATGTGTGTGATCTGGATATGGAGCATGTCAAGAGGACCTCTAAAACATGGAAGGCAGAGCCTCGATTCATACATGCATTCTGCACAGAGAGGAACCTCCTCTGACACTGTCCAGTGTCATACAGTGACTACAGACTAGAGTTACAGGTGATTTGCATTGAGTTCAGTTAATTTCATAATAGTTGCTTCAAACCCTGAAGGTTCTCCATCAACATATTCCTTGCTGAAAGGTAGCTGGTCAGAGACAGTCGAACTTGAGAACTTCAGAGTATGGTGCATTTCCCAGAGGACTGGCTCTTTTTTATGCTCTCGATCTCTTGGTGAAGTTTTCTGCTCTCGTTCTGAAATCCTTCCTTGAGAAGCCGTTCCTGTTCCTAAAATGGAGATGGAGACTGAACTCAGACAGCTTCCCATGTTCCTCAGAGGGTCTCACAATCTCTCCTTTGTTTTTTATATTAATTCCTAGAGTAATTTTGCTGTTTTTCTTGAAGCCTTTTCCTTTCTTCACTTCCACTCTCTCCCTCCCTTCCCTCTGTCCTATTTCCTATACAAGCTAATAAATTTTCTCTGCTTTCTCTCAAACTTTAACAATGTTGTCTAACAGTTCCTAAATAACAAGTGGCTCACAACTCCCACATCCAATTCTTGGTTCTTTTGACTTATGTAAAATACACCTTTTTTCTGTAAAAATGTTAGCTTCCCTCTTCTTTCTTGCCTCATCTCTGATTTTCTGGTGTGGATTCTCAAACACACCTAAGAGATAAGAAAGATGGGTGCAAACCAAGTCAAATGCTATTACTCGACTCAGAATCTCAGCAGGTGTTCAATCAAGGAATTTAGCACATGTCTAAAATGTTACTGACAGAGCTAGATGACAGAAATATATTGAAGCAACTATGGTCTGAGGTCCTCCCAGGATATTCTGGGCCACCATAGAGACTCAGCACCAATGCAGAGGAATTCATGAATAACATAAAAGTACTGCAATTTGAGTATTTAACCAAAGTGCTTGAGTGAGGAAATGGATAGGGATTTTCGCTATTCATCAGGATGCTTCAGGAGACAAGGTCATATTAGATAGGGCAAAAATGAAATCCCTGTAGGTTCCATTTAGTGGAGAAAATAAACGGGGTATTGTATCATGCATTCTCATAAAATTACAATGTCTCCATCCAGCAGAAAATACAGCCCTGAGTTGTTAAATTGGAGACACATAAGCAGTACTGAGTAATTCCTAGTCATTGTCTGTGGATAGCCTAATAAAGGGTTTCATCCAGACATAAACAGTTCTTACTAGACACGCCTGGAACTAAGCCATGAGGGAAGGAAAATGTGTCAGCATATCTGAACTATTAACATTATTGCAGGAGTCTTTATTGAGAAGGTCTTACTTCATAACTTTGGCTGATGTGGAACTAATAGACATCCTCCTGCCTCAGCCTACTGATAAAATTGTGTTTTGATTCCCTTGTTTGAGTTTTAGGTTTATTGGTGTAATTTTAAGTGAATGAATGATTTACTTTCGATATATGTAAATGTACCACGTATGTGCAGTATCTACAGAGGCCAGAAGGGAACTAGAGTTGTGGACTGTTGTAAGCCACTGTGTGGGTGCTGAGAAGCAGACCTGGGTCCTCTGTAAGAGCAATTAATGTTCTTAGTTACTAAGCTGATTTTCACTACCCTGATACACTCATGTTGGATTGGCACACAGGAACATGCTGAGATGATATGATCAAGTACCTTAAGTTTGAGAGATATAATTTTTTCATTTTCTGCTATGAGCTGTTCCCGTTCCTGCTGCATCTTCTCAGTGAGCTGTTTCACATGCTCCTGGTAACTCTTTTCCTTCTCTGCCATCATCAGCTCATACTTCTTTTGCTTCTCTGCTAAGTCTCTGTTGGTAGCTTCAGCAGCTTCAGCCTTTATACGTTCCACTGAGGGGGGAAAGCAGAGAATACAAATTAAATTATTATAAGTCACTCTTTCTTTTTATCTCCTTTAAAAAATTCTCATGTCTTTGATACAATTTCTTGTGGTGATTTTTATAGAAAATAACCAATTGATAAGAAACCATATATGCCAGTTTAAAAACAAAATGCCATGAATGATACTTGTGATTCTTTCTCTGCGATGATGATTTCAAATGGACCAGTGTTGCTAAATGCATCAGGAGCTCAGCAACTCTCACCTTCAATCTCCCTTGCTGCCTCTGTGAGTGACTGATCTGTCTTTAGAAGAGTTTCAGCCACGTCATCTTTGGACTCAAAGTACTTTTTCAGCATCTCTTCTGCCTAGTTGTAAAGAATAAGTTGAAGACAAGCCAATGTGTCTGTTAACTGACATTAGTGTTATAAGCCATGTAGCGATTCAAATAGCTACTTACATTTAAAGGACCTAAGAATGACTTAGAGAGACCCTCCCCAATCCAGTCTTTTCCATAGCCCCATCTTTTAGAGTCTAGTAAATCTTTTGAAGTAGTTGAATCTTTGATCTCTTTGCTTACAGGCTTCACGTATATCTTTTGTGACCACGAGCTGATCATGTTGGTTTCAGCTTCAAAAATGTAACCTTTTGTTTGCCATCTGCTGCATCCAAGTCTCACAAGCCCAGATCTTGCTTCCTGACTACTGCAGATCATTTATCTAAGAGTAACAAGATTTTTGCCATATTGTTTAAGATTGGTCATATTATTCCAATGCTAAATGATGACTTTATAGCTCATTCAAATCAGCATCAGACATTTTCCAGTGTCCTCTAAGGAATTCCCTGTTTGGATTGAGATCTCCTATATCTCTTGCTAATCTCTGCATTGTACACCATCTCCCAGAACATCAGGTTTGTTGCTATGCCTCAAATACACATAAATTTACTCTTTGGACCTGTTCTGTTGTTTGAAATTCCCATCCCCTGCAAAGACACTTTTATTTCTGCGTAACTTCTTTGAACATTTTGTTAAATCTTTACTTCATAGTTTATTAAAACAGTAAATTACAGTATGTCTTGTAAGTCTGGAATGTCCATGGGATTAAACTCTTATGAAAAGTGTATGATCAGAAAAGTGCCATAACATGCCTTAAAATTTTAAAAGGAGTTGAGGCACCATCCTTTTGTCCTTTTGTACCTCCGTTATATTCCATGGCATACATTTGAAGTAAAGCATTATGTGCCACCAGTTGCCTTAGATCATGGATGCAGCTTGGAGATGAAGTCCCTAGACTAACATTGTGGAGAACAAAGGAGGAGACCTGTGAACAAGAAGTTGGTGAAGCCACCACAGGAGCACTGGGTTCTTCCCAGGCGACTTGTTGTCCATGAGAAAAAGGAGAAATATTTAGCCATTTAAAGACATTGTTGTTTGAGAATAACACAAATTCAAACCTAATCTTAAACTCTATTATCATCACAGAGTAGTCTAGAAATGACAGATACAGGTGATGCCAGCTGGCACTGCACTCAAGAGTTCCAGATCCTCAGCTGTGTGATCTTAAGTGAACCTTTTGCTCCACGATGCCTCCTGTTCTGTTTCTCTTTATGATACACTAGTAATGCATGGTTTGTGTGAAGGTATGAAAATTAAGAGAATAAATTTCTGAAGTACAGGGAGAGTTATCTAAGTGCTAACAGCTAAATGTCATTTGTCCATCGCTTAAATTACGTCATTCTTGAAGTACTTTGAATGAACATAACTTTTAATTAGTTTTCCTTTTTTTTGTTAATCCTCTTGTCACTAGCAACCTGAGAAGTCCATAATACCCAAAGCCAAACCAATCATTTTAGATGATTAGATGCCTGAATGGTTGAGTGAATGCATGAATTCCATTAACATTTCTGAGAAGTCCTGTTGTGCTTCTAAGGAGAAAGGTGCTATCTGTCTCCAGGTTAGCTCTCTGCCTAGATGGATGAAAGACAAGGGTACTCTCTGCCAACACCATTGCAGCTTCTGTGTTCTCACTGTCATTTGGAAGAGATTCCTCACTAAGCACCTTCAAATGGTACCAACTACTCAATTTACCTGGAGCCCCTTTCCAGGAGCCTGGTTATACTTTTTCTCCAGCTCCTGTTTCTTTTGAAGAAAGAGGTAGTAACCACCAGGTTTAGAAAATGTCCCCTGTTTGACTTCTTCTTCCAGAGGCCCAAAAATATCCTCCAGCAAATCTGAGCAACGAGCTGATGACACATCCATGTTTTTCTTAATAAAGGCATCTCGCTTCGCTACCAGCTGGTCCTGGGTAAGGACAAAAATCACACAGATGGTTGAGAGGATGGAAGCAACACAACAGACTGCTGGGAAATGTCTAAATGAGGCCATGCTCTTCCTGTCACTGTGAGACACAAGATATCCCTGAGGAGGGTGCTGGCTACCCCAATTTACACTTCAAATTTGATTTTCTAGAGGCCTTGATCTCTATTCTCCTTCTTTAGAGATATCTCCAGAGCACAGACACTGCTTCATGGGAAGCATCTATCTACTGAAGTCACTAATTGAAGGAATATTTCAGATTATAAATTAAAGATAGGCCAGCCTGTACGGACTTCCTGAACCCACTTTTCTGTGATGTCATGAACATGTCATTAGTGGACTGAGGCTTCCTTGTCTATAAGGGTGGAGGTGACAACACTAATATCAGAGGTTTCTTGCCAGACTGTAAAAGCTAATACAGAGTACTAAGTCCAGAGATGCTAAAGAAACACTCAGTAAAGTCTAAGAACATTTATTATGCAATGCTCTTTAACACATGAATATTTCCCTGCATTTTCTCACTGTACAAACAATGAAAGCACTGAAGATGATATGTTGAGATATTCTATGTTTGGAAAGCATAACAGAAGAGCTATCTCTCTATTTGATATCAAGCAAGTAACTAAATATCAACTTCTGTATTTAGGTTGAGGAGTAGTCAGTGTCTTCTTCACAATGACTGCCATGTTTCCCCAGAACTTCTGAATGAAGCCATATGTCCTTTGTAAAAACCCAGCCTTGGAAATCTGAGAAGCATTGCTACTGATCAAATGGCAAAACATCTGTAAAGCATCTTATGATTAGTTTCTCATTGTTAGTGCAGGGCACAAAAGCAGGGAATTCCTTGACAAAAAACTACATTAGAAATGAATATGCTAAAAACACATTATATTTAAAATTCTCAAAGAATAAAACTAGTATTTTATGAAAAAGTTAATGAAACAACCCTTTGTAAATTCAGTTGTGTAATTCCCTCAGTGTCTGGGAACATGGTTTTCAGCGTGGGGAAAATAAAAAAATGGAATAGTGTATGTGTTTGTGTGTGTGCTTGTGTGCATGGGTGTGCAGAACATGACCAGTTATAGGTCATCATTTTTGATCAAACTCCAGCAGAGTATAATCTTTCAATACAAATCTGTACACATCACTGGGTGCTGCTATATTGGAGACACCCCTTTCTCTCTCTTCTCAATCTCCAAAGTGACAGTTTTGCTTTTTATACTGGTTTTATTGTTGTTTGTTTTTAAAGTGCTGCATCCTTCCAGTCCTGTCTCTATCCTATATAAAGGATCAAACTCCAGCAGAGTATAATCTTTCAATACAAATCTGTACACATCACTGGGTGCTGCTATATTGGAGACTAAGGACAATGTTCCTCCCAGATAAGGCCCATGTTTTTCTTTATCTTATGGTTTTAAGTACCACACATACCCCTAATTTCTTCTGGAACTTTTGATCTACATCCTTGAAAGAATTCTTAATGAAGACCTCAATGGCCTCACTCTCAATGGGCCTGTGCAGGTCCAGCAGCTCCTGGAGGGTTTCTGTGGGCAGGTGAACCTTCTGATTCATCTGTTCTTCATAGTGTTCAATGGCCTTTTGTACTGCAGCTGAGTTCTCTATCTGGGCCAAAGTCAGGACAGCATTCTCCATGCAGGGTAGTTCTCCACTTCTAATGGCATTGACATAGGTCAGCACCAGGCTCTGTAAACCTATCAAAGAAGTTAAGAAAATGGCTGTCATTTGGTAGAAAGGGCACTCAGCAGTTTTCAGGATTCTCTGAGAAAGGATAGCAACTTAGGAATTTATTGATCTTAAGATCCAGAAGACATTAAATCCTCTTTTTCATTCCCCTTCATTTGTTCCAAAGATAGATGTTTGACTGAGTGGCTTCCAACATTGGGAGAGGAGCATAGTGATATCACATCTTATTTCTTTATTACCCCTTTCTCTCTCTTCTCAATCTCCAAAGTGACAGTTTTGCTTTTTATTCTGGTTTTATTGTTGTTTGTTTTTAAAGTGCTGCATCTTTCCAGTCCTGTCTCTATCCTATATAAAGCTACCAACCCAGCTCCTCCCACAATGCTGTAAGTAGATGAGCCAGCCATC